ATGCAGAAGTTTCAGCTACTGTGAAATTGACCATGCAAACAGTTTTGGATACCTCAAAGGCTGCACATATGACACCTTTGCGGCACAAGCTGCATTGGGTGCCAGTTTGCTCCCAGGTCCAATTCAAGATGTTGGTTCTCATCTTTAAAGCCCTTTAAGAGTCACTGAGAAAGTGATATGGGCAGTGTATAAATTTAATAATTTGTTCTGATTAAAATACCCAAGAACAGTTTAACTTATGGCAGTGATGGAGTTAGATCATGTTTGTAAAGTTACATGTCCAAATGTATATATATATAGATACACATTCACAGAGAAATGTGTCTATAATATCTTGTAATTTTATTGTTAGGTATGCTCGTACAAAACAAATCTATAACAACTACATTTCTGATATGAGCTTAAGTATTCTTGCTTATATTTCACTGATGCTCTCAAACACATAATCACCACTGATAAATGAAGTACTTCAGATGGCTGAAGTACTTCAGTGTACTAATGTGTACTAATACACAAAAATATTTTGAACATTTACAGAACTATGCAGAAAGATCAGACCCAATTAGTTCATTTCGCTGTCTGAAGAAACATCAATTAGTGGAAAGAGGTGAGAAATCTTCGAATCTTTAGTCTTCAATATTCTCCCAAATATAATTCACTGAAAGTGAATATTCAGTGATTACATAGTCAGTCATGTAAGGAAAGAAGGTAGCATAATCGTCTATTCACATTTTGGATCCTATCAATATAATTTTCTATATGTCTGTCAACCTTTTCCATTTTGGAAAATCATCACATGTGTGGACTTCATCTCCTAGAAATTGGTACCTAACATCTAAAAAATCAATAGGTCAGGGATAGCTATGGCATATGTCTTTAACACCATTATACATTTTAATAAAACTCACTACAGTATTAAGTTTCAAGAAAACTTTTCCTACAAAATGAAGAATACAGTATTCACACTCAACAAGGAAACTCAACCAGAATCAGAAATATATCAGAATAAAAATCATTGTATTATGTAAGCAAAGCATTAAGGAGGCCAATGTTCACACTTTTTATCCTATTAGATTTTTCTTCCTGGGTATAAAATAAATAAAACAAATTTCAATTACTGTCCTTTGGCTTAAAATTACAAGGGCATACCCTCTGGAATAATTAAAAATAGCACTATGAAAGATGCCAAAGAAGAGTCTTTCAGCTAAACAGCAACTGCTTAGTCTGCAACATTAATTGGCTTTCTTTTTATAATTCTTTGGCTACAATACCAAACTACAGCTAACCCAGCAAATTTTTAAAAGGTTGAGAAAAAATACTCAATTGCTCTCTTGCATTCAACTCTCCCTTTAGTTTTTCCTTTAGCTTACGGCTCATTTCTAAAGTTATGTGATTCTGTTATCTGCTGCTTGTCTAATGAAACATGTTTGTTGAACATTACTTTCAACAAATCTTTTCAAATATAGGTGAGCTCTTTATAAGTTGTGATCCTTAAAGGTAAATTTTATTTTATTTAAACACCTTTATATGGCCATCCAACTTAAACATAGGGACTCCAACCTTGTAAGGGTGGCAATACAGGCACAATTGTAATAGCCACTTGATCTGCTCCATGTCAGCCTGGGGTCTCCAGATCCACTGACAGAATATATAAGTTACTAGTTTGACTTTTGGTTTGTGTTTTATGTGCTATGGATGTCTGAAATAGAATCGGAATTTCATGTCCAGGCCTCTGGGCCTCCATTTATGGCAGCAAAGATCTTTCTTCTTTTCTTTCCATAAATATCCATTGCCCTATTAATATTTTATTGCCAAATTCAATGGAGAGGGGGAGATTTTTCAAATAAAATAATGCAAAGACATTACAACAGAATTAGAATAATTTAGGATATTTGGGACTGTTGCTAAGATTGGATAAAACCTTTTACTGCAAACAAAAAAATCCTGGGGGAAGGGCTTTGATTTATTCTGTGGTTACTTAAAGAGGAAACTTTATGGGGAAAAAACTAGGATACCAACTCTAAACTTTATTTAAAAACCAAGTGCAAGCCTTTATTTCATAAATATAAGACACACATCTAGAGTACTATAGACTTTTTGGTTTAGTACTTAAACCATCAAGCTAAGAGTAGTTAAGCCATAAAGCTAAACTATCAAGAGAGTATGAATTCTACTCCTGCTTTAGGCAAGAGACAGCTGGGTGAGCTTAAGCCAGTCACTTTCTCTTTCTCCTAGGAAAGATGCAATGGTAAGCCACTTCTGAAAAACCTTGTCAAAACAAGGGACATGTTCAGGCAATCTCCAAGAATTGGACACAATTGAAAAGAAGGGAAAAAAACTTTTCCAATCCATATTAAAAGAAACATTAATATGATTTAATTCCTCCTCTATTAAATTACTGTGTCCTTAGATTTTTATCTATTCTATAGCTAGCAAAAATGTTTCCTTGATCCATGTATTATATATAACTAACAATAATAAAAATTATAACTGAAACATTAAAAACCCCTTGGGTCTAAAATCCTGTAACAAATAATTACTGTTAACACCACACCCATCCAGCAAGTCAGCAAACCTACCTCACTCAGTTCTCAATCTAAAAATATACTAGAGGTCCCAAACGTTCTTAAATGATATTATGTACAGTAAATGGAACACATAGTTTTATGAGTATTTGCCAGTACTCAAGCAATTTTGGTTACACCACAGCTGTACTGGAACACCAGGTTGGAACATAGTCACTCACACATCATAAACATCACTCTCAGGTGGCACTGAAAAGTCCAATACATAGATGTAACAGCCATCATACACCTAAGTACGTGTACAGCTGATACATCTGATTTAATCTGCAAAAATGTTAATACTTAACATTTCTATTAAGATGCTGCAGCGGTCATAAGTACATACTTATTTCAGGGCTGTTGTAACATTGACCAGTCACTAAATGAGTGGTTGTGAGTCAAGGACTACCTGTATAAAACTATGTATGACTAAAAGTTGATAGCTTTGTTCAACATTGCCCAGAGAAGCAATAAGATGCTTCACTGGTATAATTGCCAAGAAAAAATATAGTAGCAAAACAAAATAAATCTAGAATACATACGGTAACTTTAAGGAAAGCATCTTATGAATAACTGTATCAGCTGCACTCATTGTTGCATTTAACAGCAACATATGTGCTAGTTACCAAAACCTCCAGCTTCTCAAATAAAAACTTATTTTTTTTCATAATAACTTAAAATTAGAATGTTTTTCATTAGGATTATATTGCCACACAAGCAATGTTACAAGTAGCCTGAAGAGAGGTAAAACCAATGTGTCTTATGTTCTTAATCAACTTAAAAAAAAACCTAATTATGTACAGCTGTTTAAGTATACCTCACTGTTTTAATATCATTTGTTCCATTTTGAGATATCCTTGTACATGAATTCAGGCATTAAGCTACAATTAATGATCTTACTTTGGATTCCTGCAATGTAGTTTAACAAACCAGTTAAGGAAATCATGGTTTAACTTTAGAAAAATGTGTCAATCCACCTCCTGAAAAACACAGCTTTCATGAGTTAAAATACAGTGTCATCAAGTATGTACCGCCAGACAGATGGCTCATAGAGCTTCACATGAAAAGACATCAAGCAGTTTAGTCTCTTTTTCTCTTGCAAAATCTTTGACTGGAAGCACTGTTATTTAAGCTATCCATATACTGTTTTTCATGTTACAATGATAAACACATTTACTTGGAAAGTAAATCCCATGCAAATCAGAACTTTTAATTTAATTTAGTTCAATCTTGATAAGTCTGACCTATTAGTGGAAAGCAATATTCTTACTTACACAAAACTATTCAAGGCAAACCTATTTATATTACCATCGCTGGGGCTTGGTTTGTATTACTTAACTTTCTTTGATCTTTTATAAATCAGGGGCACTTAACGACCAAGAAAATCTGAGTAGGCTATAAACAAAGGCACGTCTCTCAGGATCCACAAAGAATGATCACAGCCATAAACAAAATTAAGAATAAATTCTCTCCAGACATTTCACTTCGGCACAGCCAAACTCGTTTTCACAAGTCCCCATCAGCCTTATAGCCAAGAAACTGAAGAGCAGCTTCTCAGTTTCCTCTCTGTTCGATCTCCTTGCGGCAAACCGCAATTGCCTCTTTTTTTGTTTTCCTAACCTGGCAAAAACTTTTCCCGTCTTCATCTCTCCTGCGTTTAATTCAAAATCCTCTCTTCTCCCGGAGGGGGGGGGGAACCCTGCTACGCTCGCCTGTCTCGCTCAACAGCCGCCGAGCCAACGCTTCGGATGCTCCGCACACAACTCCGCAAAGAAAGCCAAGGAGCGCCCAACCTGCTGTCCGATGACAGCTGGCTAGAGGCGGCGGTACCAACAGCGGCGGCAGCATCCATTCCTGCCCTTGTCAATAAACGGAGGTCCCCGGTCGCACCGATTCCCGCCAGCAAACACATGGGACTCTAGTTCCCCGCAGGACAGCCTAGTGGCTCCGGCTCTTTCCCCACCACCACCACCACCACCACCCGAAAAGAAGAAAATGAGGAAGGAGGCTCGAAAGACCCAAAATGGCAAAAGCAAACTGGAAGAAACCAGACTCCTCCACTGGGGCGCCCTTCTTCGCAGAGAAGCTGCATAGGAGCAGGCATCCCGTGCAAGAGGGCGAAGAAAGCCCGAGAGCGGCAGAAGCAGCAGCAGCGGGGATGAAGCCCACTGCTCATCCCGAAGCGACCCCGATGCATCCGCTGCGTCCGAAGCAGAAACTCAGAAGCCGAGCTGCAAACGCGGCGGCCGGTGAAGGAGGAGGTGCTCTTACTCCCGCAGCCTGTCTGAGCCCCGCTACTCTGTGCACCGTACACACGTAGCCCCTTTTCCTCTCGACCCAGCAGCCCAGCGTTCCCTTACTTCTCCGCCCGATCCAGGAAACTCGCCGCCGCCACCACCACTCCCGTCGCCCCCGCTCTAGGAACTGGCGCCGTACCTGCCCCGCTTCTCGGCCGCTGCCGCTTTTCCCCACCGCGAGGGCTTTTCCCTCACTCGAAGCCTCCCGCTCCTCTCGTCATCTAAAATGGCGGCCAGGGTAACAGCCAGACATTTATTGCAAACGCATCGAAGCTCTCGGCGCTCGATTTCTCCAGTCCGGAGCGCCGAGGCTTCAGCGTCTCGAGCGGCTTTCTGCCCCGCCCCCTGAGGCTGTCCGCCAATCTAGGTCGCCCTACCCGGGTCTGGGAGGGGGAGCAAGGGAAGGGGGTGTGGCCCGAAATCCCCCCTCCCCCCCCCGGCGAGGCAGGTGAATAGTCCTGGTTAGGCGAGTGCCCGGTGTCGTTGCTCTTTAATCTTGTTTAGACGGATTAAGCTTCCCAGATTTGCCTCGTTTTCCTGTAGGTCTCCGTACCTAATTTAATCAAAGGAACATCAAGAGAGGCGTTTATAGCCCTCCGTTGCCTGTCATTTCCAGCTGATACGCCGAGGAATGTCTTATTGCTCGTCCCTGCGTTGCGGTCTACATTTCTGAAACCGAAGAGTTACTACGTCTAAGACTGGAAGCAATTGATTTATCAAGGGCGGCGTTAATATGAGACTCCTTCGCGTAGTGTGCTGAATTAATCCAGATGCTAGAGGGGGCGTGTTTCAAAATTCACTGAATTGCAAACTAACACACTGACTAGGTTTAGTCCTATTCGCTAAGCAGGCATGCTTCAGCTTAGTCTGTAATGGGGCAAACCCAACCTGTCACATAGAATGAGGTAGACAATTTTAATCAGCAAAATTCAAGCAATTTTGGTCATTTTCTAAGATGTGCTCATAAATCTTAGAGAAGAGTATGGTCCCTCGGCTTGTTATGTAAACGAAACCCTGATTTGATTTAGCATGTGTAAGCCTGCTAAATTGCGGCTTATTCAATACATTTTAAACCATAGTATGGTGTGATGATTGAATCCTAGCATTTTGTAATTTCCAGAGTGAGGACTATGCTACAGTACTTAGGGGCAAGATTAGTAGGCAGTGAATCGAGCTTTTCACTTCAGAAGTTCCCAAATTAGCCCAACCCACATTTTTAAAAGAATGGAGCAGCGGTCCTGAAAAAAATAATGCAGAGGGCAATTACAACTTAGCCTGCAGCATATCCAAATTTTAAAAAGCACAAAAGCAGTTTGTTGCTGTTTAGGGTGGGAAGGAAAAGGAGGGAGAAGTGTGAAGGAAAAGCATATCCAAAGGGAATGGAAAGTAGAAGAAATCAGAGGGTGAGAATTGTGATCCAATCAATGTCTATTTATCCTTAATAGCACCATTGGGAGCACAAAGGAAAAGTATTTCAACACTTCAGAAACTAAGGATCCTTCTATGCTACATTTTTCTATCTGTTTCCTTCTTAGGCCGATTTGAAACACATTTCTCTTCACTGCTACTTCTCTTCCAGCATAGAAAATATGTGGTGAACACCAGAAGTCAATAATTATGCTCTTTCCACCTGACCAAAAAGCGCAAAAAACATCAGTGTCCCATGTGCCACACATTTCTGTGGGGCCTGGGCAGAGGGAGTGGGGAGAGAGATATTTATATATATACACACACGTGAGTACTTCTCCCCCCCCCTCCCTCCCATGATTTTGCTGTGATGGAAAAAAATCTAAGCTGCCTTGTATTTGCTTTGCTGCATACAAAAGTATCTAAAATGTACCGATTTTATACTGCCAGTTTTGCAGTTGGTGGCTTCTCAATACTTAGTATGCTATAGTGCTATGCTGCTACAATAGCTAAAGTGGGGGAATAAATCCTAAGCAAGGCACACAAGTACCAGAAGTTCTATTTCAAAAGGCAGTCAAGGGTTAACTGGACTGTTCTGGCATGTGCAATTCCTTGCAGGAGTGAAATTGACACACAATCTTCCCCCTTCTCTTTGGCAGGAGAGCAGTCAATATGCAAAATGCTAGACTGCATTTTTTCCAATGCCTCTTTTGAAAAGAAATAGATTGCTTGAGCCAAGAGATGGCCGGTGAGAGAATGGACCTCCCGCAATCTCCAGAGTTGTGTAGAGTAACTTTTCTCAGAGTTTAAAATAATGTGGCTCAGTGCCAGAAAAAACTGAATTGCTGAGCTAACCTCAACTGATTGGAGAGATCTAGTTTTGAATTGAGGCAAAATCCTTGTGTAGAATTAAACATTTTAATACAGCACCTTGAAGATTACTTTGTTTTCTGGTCTGTATTCATTTCATCAATTACACTATTTTTTTACCCTCATATAAAACCTGTACTGTAAATACCATACATATTTGTATGATAGGACAAACCACTCTGATTGTTTAATGTGGACCTGCAGTCTGCTTTCCTCATCCTTTCCTGTACAGCTTCATTTTCCCTAACTATTGTCAACGCATTCTTTGGCTGAGCATGTTGTCTCAACTTGGTTCATTTTTGCTTAAAACTATTCAGAATTTGAAATGCATAAGTTATTGTGTTTTCCAATTTCTATTTGTGGTACCTGGGAACCAGTTTGGTGTAATGGTCTAAGGCATCAGGCTAGAAAGCTAGTGACAATGAGTCTCAAGTCCTGCCTTAGCCATGAAAGCCAACTGGATAACTTTGGGCCGGTCACCCTCTTTGAATATTTTTTAACTTAAAGCAAAGATTTAGAATTCAATGTACCCATACCTATTTTGTTTTTGTCTCTCAATCTATTTTGTTTAGTTTTGTAAATGCTGAGTATATAAGCAGTATAGTATACTGCTTATACTAAGCAGTTATATAATTTCTTAGCTATCTACCTATTGGGAATTAAAAACCTAGTTTATTGTGTTATGCTGTACCAGCTCTTTGTTTTGTATCATGGCTTGGCATATGTAAATCAGCTAATCATGGATAAGGCATTTGTACATATATTAAAAACCTTTAAAATGAAAATTAATTCACTGAATTCACTGGAATGCACATTTAAGCAGGCTCACACATGTGCGGGATCAAGCTGTACTTCAATTAAAACATATTATACTGGCATATAGTTTGTGTAAAGCAGGATATCTATGATATTGTTCCAGAACTGTATTGCTATAATAGCTATTTATAAATTGTTGAGCAGGACTACAGTACTTTGTTAATATTATGCTTTCATTAATGTTCACATACCTCTAGTTACTTCATAAGAAATAGTTTTTATAAAGACACTGCATTCTAAATTATTAAAAATCTGAAACAATTGTGGCAAACAGTGCTTAGCAAAGATCATATGAATTCAATTTTTTATTTCAGATTGCTTGATGAAGGCCTCCCAAATTTTGTAACAGGCCCATGGATCTGGGCCAACTTCCAAGGCAGTTCAAGCCTGCTGCCACATCGTTTCATCTCTCCTTCTGGCTTCCAGCCATCCATGTTTTTCATCTGCAATTCTCTTAGGCCTTCAGTCCACGGTATTGACTTTGCTATTTAAATATGAGGTTTGCCTGCTTCAGTCTAGTTCAGTCATGATGGTTTTACTTTATGAACGCCTGTCTAGAATAAGTTGTATGCTCAGCTTTATCCATTAACATACATAATACACTTCCTGAGGGATTCAGTGGAATTATACCAGAGATATGTTGGTGAAATGTTTAACCTTTAGAATATTTTGTTTGTTAAAAATATTCATTACCCAGCAAAAGTTTGCATAACAGATTCTTCCAGGAAGGCTGTAGCATTTTAATCCTATTAACTGATTGCCTGTGATGCCTTATCCTGTTTTTCCATGTTCTGAAAAATACACATGGTTTACCACCCACTGGGAAAGATAAAACATTTTATTTGGTGTCTTATTGATTGGCATCTTTGAGCATTTTTTTTCATATCAATAGTGTGCATATGCTAAATTCATGTCCATTATTTATATGTACTAACCAAAGAAGAAACTTGATGGTTTATTTATCAATTTCCACAAAATACGGATTATGTATTTGACATGCAAAATTGTGACACTAAGAAACAAGCTTCCCTGTGAGCACCTGTACTGCCTGTGGGAATCCCACAGGGAATCCCAGTTTGTTGTCCAACTCTTCCAACTTAAAGAAGTATGTGTTTGTGTGCTGGATGAATCATCCAAATTGCCTAGGTTTGTTTTGTCACAATTCTATTCAGGGAGGGTGATGTAATTTTCTTCCTTGAAGGCTCATTAGGAAAGTACCTGAATAATTCTCTGGTTAATGTGTTTGTGTGTCTGTGGGGAGAGAAAGAGAATATAGAACATAAGTGTAGATCTAGAATTTTACTTAAACTGGATGTTGAAATGCTATTCCATGTTGAAATGTTATTGCTGTAATTAAGGAGAATATTCAGAATCTAAGCTTTCCCCCACATACTTATGAAGAATGTTCACAGAAGAAACACACATAGATATTGTTAGATATTCTCCCCCCACACACACACACACACAGACTGAAAGAGGTTTCCACCAAGGTATTTACAGGAATAAACTCTGTTGAGAGTGATTGAGGCAAGATGTCTTGAGAGAAACTTCCTCCTGATATTCGTCTCTGGTTCTTCTCCATGCACTCACACTGTCACCAAGGATGAAGGCTTGTTTCAAGAATCATTCCCTGCTCACAAACATACTAATTCTGCCTTTCAGTTATCTTCAACTTTTCTTCATCTGCTACAATCAACCATCTATGACTAGTCACAGTCCTCAAAACACCTATCAGCCAATTATCTCTTCTTTCAATGGCCTTCCCCTAGTTTCTAAGAATGGCATTATTTCAATCCTTTAAGAAGTAACAGCTAGTACTCCCCACTAGGCAGGTTCTCATAAAAGGGATTGACTCAGTTATCTGCTGCTTGACTTGATTTATCTAGCATGGTATGCTGGTGGGCTAAAGGATGTTGATCTGATGTCTAGAAAATTTCTAGATGCAAAAACATATAACCCATCCTATTTTAATAACTAATCTGTCTGAAAGGTGTCCTCTATTTGGAAGTTTATCCTATGACACCTTCCAGACAAGCTAGTTATTAAAACTTGGGCAGTATAATGGGATTCTTGTGTTGCTGTTTTTTTTTTTAAGAAATTGCCTCTTTCTTGCTTTCTTGTATGATGATATAAGAGAAATTGTATCGATTTGTTTAAAACAGGATTTGGCAA